CCCACAAGAATACCAGCATGTTCACCTTCTCTGGTTTAAGCGGTGGTCTTTTACTTGACTTTCGCTTAAAACCATCCATCGTTTCCTCAATATGCGCGTCATTTTTGCTGACGCGGCGAGTATACTCTCGAAGCGCTGTTTCGTTATGCTTTCAGTTTCGTTCGCCATTTGATATTTCTCATATGCAACAGAAATTGCAGCACTTATGAGTTGACCAACGCGGTGGTCGCACCAGTGCAACCGCATACACCGCACAGGCAGTAAAAATGGTCGCAGTCTGGAGCCCTGCTATATCATCTGAAGCCATTCCATATCTTAATGTGAGGGACAGAATTTAGGTTTACAGAAACTCATCTACCTTCTGCTGCAGCTGTCAGGCATTCTCCGCTCAGCATTCAAACAGCACTTCATGTTCAGTTATGACAGTCAGCATGGTAAAACTCTCTCCAAGATGATATATTCCCATTATAATACTTTAAGTAACAACTGTAAAACACCTTAACGTGATAAACACAGCAGATGCACAAGTATCAGACTTCACCTATCTGCTGTGTATTTCCCTATTGCTATAAATGCTCCTTTCATGTAGACCTGTAACATGCAGATAAGATGAAAAGATAACCAAACTAAATGGAGAGGGAAACATGAGTACGGAAAAGTCACGGTCCAAATTTAGTGACCCGAAGAAAGTGTGGATGCATAATCTCAGGACAACACAATTAGATAATACAACTACTATACTTCAGGATACAACATCTGTCAGAAAGCGTATCCAAAATTAGGTTGCTTAATTGACAACAGCTGCATGGCACACACCTAACCTCAGGCTACCTAAATTGAGAGCACATGCAATTTCACAGAGATGGATGTCAGAGTGCTATGCATTTCTTCATAAGGAAGCCCTGCAATGAAAGACAAATAGAGAAAATATGTGTTAGAAGATTCCAACACTGGAACAGAGTTTCATTTTTGTGAGTGTCTAGCAGGGATCAAAGATTTAAGAGAGATGATAAGGCCACTGTCCTGCCTCTTATTCCTAAAGATACAGTCACATTTATAATTGCTCTGTAAAAATTTTGCAGGCATTTCAAAAGGAAACCACACGTTTTGGAGTTTCATGTGAGGGCGAAAAAGTTTTTTTTTGTGCTTATGTTCAGTTGGTCATGTGAAATAGCCGCACTGACCAAGAGGAAGTTATTTGGTTTATAAAAAAGTGACTGTGTGAGCGGTGCTTCATACATTGCTACACTATTGGCACTAGACAATGGAACTTTTTTACTGCAAAATTTTGCTGAATAGTCACTAATAGCATACTAGAAAAGTGTGCAATACAAAAATTTCAGTATTGATGAAATTGTGCTTTAGTTCAGCCAATTGAGTATGACGTCAAGCATGGAAGCAAAGTTAATGTTTAAGTGTGCAATAATGCGTCAATGCACAATTCAGTCATGGATTTTAATAACAGATGACAGTAATTACAATCTTATTCAATGTGTTACAGAGACTGTCCTAGATTATATGCATGACTTAAAGAAAATAATTTGTATCATTATTCTTATTTGGACTTCAACAAAGCAAGTTAAATGCTGTTATTTGCATGCTCAATTATGACATGTATACATTCAGGAATATATGGAAATTTATTTGGTAACAAAATGGGAAAATATTCCATATTGTTAATCGTATGACTCTTCCTGTACAAGATTTTAAGTATGCTTCAAATATTACTTTTCATATTTCTATGATATGCAAACTTACTGCACATATTCAACAGTTTACCTATTGTCTGTCTGCAGCAAGTATCAATATCAAGGTAAAGAGGCTAAAGTCAAAATGTTGGTATCTTGCCAACCCTAGGCAGCACTAGAGATGGAGAGAAGCTGTTTCAATGAGTGCATGAAGATCTATAACAGTCTTCAGTACTACTACGGTGAAAGTGATTCTGCGAAGATTAAATTGCCACATACTGTCAGTGTAAGAAGTGGCAGGTTTTGGCTAGCCTCACCTACGCATGCTGAGGAGGCCTATGAGAAACAGGAAGGGGAAGTGAGCGTGTTAACAGGCAGAGCAGTGTCTGCATGGTGCAAAGTATGACTGGTGTGTCAGAGTTAATCATTAAATTCTTCTCACTCAATACGAACACCTCCACCCCCCTCAGTAAAGCTCAGCGTCTAACGACACGGAAAAGCTTCGGATAAGATTTTCGAGAATTTGCCACCAAAGTGGCTCAAAAAGAGGCCCTTGTCATGCGAAAGGTTTTCATGTGAATGCTCTTACTGTTACAAACGTCTAAATGTTCAGCTTGACAGTTCTTTGCTAGTTGCAAAGAAGTGAAATAGTATGAACAATACGAAATGACAATACAGCCTGATAAGAGAAGCCACTGTACTACGGGAAGTAAGATTATAAGAATGACGGAAATAAAGTATGAACATTTTTATGATGTTTACAATCAAGTCAGTCTGCTGCGGTTCCTGAGGGAAAATGTACAGGACTTATGGGAATGTGTGGGACTTTAGCTCTCTAAATTAAAGCACAATATGTAAGATTTTTTTATTAAAATATCCAAAAACCACTAGAACAGTGTTATTTATTTTGCTGACTTGTGTACTTACATTATCCCAAATGTTTCAATGAATGTTTAAATCCAGAGAAATAAGCAATTTTAACTAGTGACCGTGTCCATAGTGTCATTGTGTCGCCTGCCAATGACGTCATAACCCCTCAATTTCCGGTTTTGTTTTGTAGAAAACATGGAAACACCAAAGATAGTAATAACGTTAAAACCTTAACGATACCCATCCCTAGTTATAACCCCTCGATTTTTTGCTTTGTAGAAAACATGGAAACACCAAAGATGCTTTTAAAATGTTGTGCGTTTTAATAGACCGGTGACGACTGCACAGAGTAGCATCAGGGCCTAAAATGAACACTTGCCAAGCGCCAAATGTGAGTAAATATCAGCGAGTCCATGTAACAGTGTCAGTCGCCAGTTGGCGGGTACAACTTCTACGAATTATAACAATGCAATGAAGTGAAAACAGCAGCCAGTTTTTAAAGAGATTCACTGTTTCTGACATAAGCGAATAAAATCATCTTTTCCGAAGACAAGATCATCGTGATTAGCTGTTCTCTCATAAGCGACAAGAGCGAATCAAATAATAGGATACAAACGGACCAATAAGGTCAGAGCAGTGTGATGGCCAGCTTGTCCCTAGACACGGTTCTAATAACTTGAGAAGATTGTACTGCTTCATTTCGGAAGATTAACTTTTCCCTTCTTTATTCTTCATAACCTGAGAATGCGGCGACACACGCCTGGGGTTACGCCGCCTAAACGGTGCAGTGAAGTATAGTTTGAAAGGCTGCGTGTTCGGCTGTACGCATACGCTGAGCCACTTCAGACAGCTCACCAGTAGCCCTTCAACGCACGAAAATACACACAATTATGTCAAAATGCGCGGTTTTGGCGAGTTACCTTGTACCACTTTTAAATCATGTTGTAGGGTCATTCTAGTTCAAACATAAGCCAATAGCATTTGAAACACATCACATTGGGTTCAAAGGTTTAGCAGGCCCATTAAAAGTCATTTTCATACACAAAAGAAATGCAGAATATGATTTTCATATATGACATACATTGGCATCTATAGGCTGGAAGGCTGTGCTATGAAAATGAAAGGTTGCATTTGTAGGTTGCATAAAGACAATGAAAAGTGAGGCAGGAGAATATGAAGATGAATAACAAACGATATGAGGCTTTTAATAAAGGTTACACCTGGAGACTCTACAACTGACCTTTTACTTGTAAGGTCTTAGCCTCACTTACGCTCTTCCTTTTGTGACTGGTCCTATTTGCATTACACATTCTTCCTCGGTCCGCTCACACGAGCCCGTTGTTTGCAGGAGAAGCAGAAGAACCACAGGCCTGATACGATCTCAGACCACTTACATGCTCTACTCATTTGTATCTTTGATATACGACTTGAGCTCCAGTTTAACTTAATGTAACCTCTACTCAAATTCTTTGAAGAGACCGGTTTCACATGATTCGAGGACTGACGAACCATGTTTTGCTGCTTCTGCTTTTGCCTCCCACACTGAATTAATATGCAGGACATTCTAAAAAACGTGAACTAGCTCAGGAAATGTCTGAACAGAGTTGGCTTGAGATCTCTGAGCTCTGATTTCACACCTAACGCAACGCTTCGTCAAATGGAATATGCTAACACCTTATTTGGTCACTATAGATTGTACTTAACACATCTTTTTGGTCATCTGAGATATTATAAATAGAGATGGTGTCAGAAACTCACCTGGGTTGAGAGTTCTCCTCGAACATTCGCTCTTTGCCGTCTTTGAACAGGCTTATGGTCTGTTTGGTCTTCTTGGTCAAGTTCTCCATGAAAACGCGGAAGAACTCGTTGTCACCCAGTGTTTCCATCTTGCCTTCGTAGCGGGATAGGATAGTGCGGAGATGCTGGTAGGTGTCTGGTAACAGGTCCAGGATGTACGGAGGACTGTTCTTCAAGGCCAACTTGGGGTTCTGGCATAGCCGGACCACCTACAAAACAGCAGAGAAAAGCAGATGATGTTAAATATGGTATCTTTTCAAAACAGTGAGCAGCAAAAGTGAAAATGGTGGGTTGCTACAATACTGAGAAAGCCAGAAAACAATTCTTCCATTAATAAATAAAGTTCAAAAGAAAAGCTTTATTATTTATTTGAAATTTTTCTATCATACTAGACTAGTCTGTACTGCCACTTTTTTGCATCCTTGCTGAATAAAAGTATTTGTCCTTTCCAAAAATAATAGGCTAATTTCTTTCTTAACAACTCTAACTGACCCTGAAAGGTTGTGTACACAAAAGATTGCAATAGCATAAAGCTAATTTGCTCATAAACTATGATGTTGCACTTCCAAAACTCACATTCATGTTTAATTCACTTAATTTTTATTACAGAGCTTTTCACAATACATGTCGTTTCAAAGCAGCTTTACAGAAAAACTCATAATATGTGTAATAATTTGTCTGTTAATACAGCAGCTAACAAGCTCTGTACAAATATTTTGATACAAATATTCTGTAAAATTCTCCAAAGACGCATTAAGTTGACTATCGATCAAGAAAAGAGAACTGCAAACTAACCTCATATCCTCTGCGGGTCAACGTTTTGCAAGTTTTCTCTTGCAGTGTGAGGGAAAAATAAAAACTACACGGACAGGGGCTTTAACACTGTTAACCGAACCATAAATACACACACAAAACTTTGAAGGTCACACACCAGAACATTCCAGAGAGAAGAATCTAGTCCAAAGGATTTTTGTGAGCTACATATGATGACAACTGTGTTTGCACAAAAGACACAGTTCTGCAATCTACAGGACTACGCTGTCATCTCAATTTCCACAACATTTACAGCTGGTGACTGGGAATGACACTGTGTACTTTGCAGCTATAGGGGTTTAATGCTTGAGATTAGGGTTGGGCGGCATGATAAAAACGCCGTTTAAAATGGTATTGTTTTCTGTCAACTCAATGAGAAATTAATGTGTTTAATAACTAACACAGTTATTAAACATTAATAACTGATTGCCTACTTTTGCATTAAACACTTAGCATTTAAAAATAGGAGTTTAATAAAATGTAAAACTATAAAGGCTTTATTCTTTTCTATTTTTAATTAATCTATTTCTACTTTATATAAAATATTCATCACAAAGAAATAAGCCTGACATCAGTGCAAAAATAGCCTGATGCTATGTAACACTTGTGTTAAAATGTAGACTCAAAACAGTAAAACTAGATGTTAAAAACATATACCAGTAATTCCAACTCTTAATTTAGCCTATTTGATTAAAAATTAGGGGTGTAAATCGGATTGTTTGTCACGATACCCAGCGATACATTATTTGCCGATACTTCAAAAAATTATCCGATACAATTTCAATACGATTCGATACAGGAGAATATCGAATGATATATCGATATTATTATACTATATACCTATTTTAAACAATCATCTACATTTTTATTAACTCACAAATGCAACCAAAACATATAACATGAACATTTATCTTAAATTTTCACATCCTGTTCCTCAATTGGGACATTCACAACAAAAAAATAGGCCTACAGTTTTTTTTTTATAAATAATACAGAAAAATAAATTGAAAAAAAAAAAAAAGTGTCACACACAAGATCAGTAATCTTAAGATATGACAACAGTCAAGACAGTCTTTCAGGTTTCTGTGCTAAAATATGCAATGTGTAAAATAATGTAAATCCTCATTAGGAAACAACACAAACGAGGTACTCCAGTTGTAGGAAAAAATTTATTAATGAAGAAAAATAAATAAAAAAACAATTAAAAAATAAAGCTGTTAAAACGTTATTTGTGACTTTTTTTTGGCTGCTACTATGGGCTCAGTGCTAAAAACCTCACAGATAACCAAATTACAAGCAATAGCAGAAAATAAATACACAAATTAAATAAACAGTGCTTTTCAGATTTTTCAGGTTGATCTAAAAGAAATTTTCAGGTACAGAAGTGTAATAATCAAATGTGAAATAACACTGCATAGTCTTCACTGTATAGATTAAATATAGATTAATCCTTATAAAAGTTGTTCAGTCAAAATCAGTGAAATTTTTTTCTTTGACAGAAGTTTTCCGTTAGTCTGCTTTCACTTTAAGAACGAAAGCACGGATCCAATATACTGATACACATGCGTTTTCTTTCTCAACGGTTTACGTTAAGACATACAGTAGTCAACATTTGAAGTGGATCAAAACCTTTCCTCAAAGTTGTCCTAAAACCAAAATGCGTTCTTGTCTTAGGACAACTTTGATTAACTTTTTTGATCCACTTCAAATGATGACGACTGTAGACCTAACCGACTGTGTTTAGTAGGATATTCGCCAAGGCGCACATGTTGATGTCATTTGGTCTGTATTTGTTCATCCATGCACAAAAGAGCGGAAGCGAGCTCAGTTAGGTATTAGCGCGCTGTCGATGCGTCTGTCTGTATGACAGGATGTGTGCGCGTGTCACTGCGCGCTGAAAAAACTTCTCACAAGCGCTCGATAATTCCGTCAACTATCCAGAGCGTCTTTTACGCTCTTATTGTCCCGACACGATGATCTTATTGTCCCGTTGAGTTTGAACGAGAATGCACGCATTGGCGGTAATGCATAGACGGACATTGGTGAACACGTGGACAGAGTCAAAATAAGGTGCCTATTTATACTACAGATATCGATATTTTACATGTGGCATCGATACATCGTATCGTTAGACATTTAATCGATGTATTAATCCATATCAATGGATCGTTACACTCCTATAAAAAGTACAGAAAAAACAGCAATTTTGTAAAATAGGCTATTACAATTTAAAATAACTTTTTCTATTTGAATATACTTGCAAATTTTTTTTATTTCTGTTATGGCAAAGCTGAATTTCCAGCAGTAATTACTCCAGTCTTCAGTGTCACATGATCATCCAGAAATCATTCTAATATCATTTGAAAAGTTGTGCTGCTTAATACACTTTTTTCTAGATTCTTTGATGAATAGAAAGTTCAAGAGAACAGCATTTATTTAAAATATAAATCTTTTGTAATATTATGATCAATTTACTGCATAATACTGGCAACAGAAGTATTAATTTCTTTAAAAAAAAAAAAATCCCCAAACTTTTTAACAGTTACATGCCAATTGTACAGTGAAATCTTTACACATAGCGAAATCGCCACATATATATATATATATATCCTCATTCCATCCAACCCTACTGGAGGCCACAAAGCTGTTAAAATCGTTCAAGAAAAAAAACCTCCATTCCAGACAATAAATCATTATGATTAAGTGCATGGCCTCAAACCACTTCATTAGCCAAACAACTTAATGGCTAGCTAGACTGATGGTCCAATAGGCTTTGCTTTAATTCAGACATAGTGGCTCTCTTCTGTCTGGACTAAAGCTACGTATCATCACCTTCTGAACTACTGATTAAGACATGGGTGGGAAATTTGAGGAAACGGAAAACTGCTCAAATGTCACCACCCTAGCACGGACGCACGTTCCAGCAATAAGTGTCCGGCGCTGCCTGCAGCTGCTCAGAGTACTTGCAGCCGCTCTTATCTATTTTGTCTTCAGCACAGGACCAGCTGTGATTGGGGGGTGGGGGGTTGTCACCATCCAGTCTGACTTGTGCTCCAAAACTTCTGGATCTCATGCACCCCCAGTCCTGACAGCCAAAAGATAAGACTGTGGCGACAGGACGTCCCGAGAATTATCAGCGAACATGCATACATCTACGTGTTCACGTGCAGACGTGTGTTCATTAGGGCTTCCAGCGATAACCTGAATTCAGAATAATAATACGAAAGTGCGGAGAAAAGTCCGCTTGGCTTCAAGCATGAGAAACTATACCAGGAATTCGATTAAAATAGACATCATTTAAAATGCACCAATGCAATAACGCACTCAAAAAATGCAATAGTGCCATTTAGAGTGTTAAATCTGAATTCATAGTATAAGAACAACCTTATCAAAGTATGCAAATATACAGTCAACAACAACTACAACTGACATGTAGTTTAATGATTACTAAACCTTATGAGGAGACTAAAGTGTAGATAATTTGTGTTTGTAAATATGGTGAACACAACAGATGCATACACGGGGAAAACCCATAGTCAAATACAGAACTTCTATATTAGAGTTTTTGACTATGTTTTTGCATGTTAAGATTCACAGGGAACAAGCACAACTTGTGTTCTTGTGTATTTGGTAAGAGGTTGAATATTTACAGAGGATTTACAGAATATAAATGGATAACATGAAAATGTTAACTTTGGATAATAAATAGCAAAGCCATGATAAACTTAAAAGTTTAAGTCATATGAAGAAACATTTCTTTCAGAAAATACTGTTTTGCAAGTGGAACTTCTCCTAATGTCACATTTCCTGAATCACTGATCGTGATGTTCATACTAAATCATTTAAAGGTTTTATAATCTAAGTCAGCAGACTTAACATAAAGTGGAAATTTACAATGTTATGTTGCAAAAACAGAGAGATTCGCTTATGAAGGCAATGTGATATGTCACATGTGCACTAACCAAACTACCCAGTGTGAAACTAAACAAATAGGAAGTTGCAAAGTTATCAATCAGCAAGCATTATCTGCTCTTCTCAGCAAAAAATTAAATAGACTTCCTTTGTAACAAGCATCTCAAAATGTAAATTAAAAGCCATCTTTAGTATCTAGCATCAACGGGATAAGTTTAAAATGAGCCCCCTGTGACAGATGCACCGTTTTGCTCATGTATCAGTGTGAAGATCACAGGAAGTGTGAGGTCAGTAACCACAACTTTTTTTCCATGAACTGCAGCTTTAACTTTCGTATTGTGAGGCAGCAAATTCAACAAAAGAAAACCACTCTGGTAGACAGATGTTCGCATAAACGGTTTAAGTTTTAAAGTTTTACTAGACAAGATGGTAAAAGATTCTCTGTCAGTTGATTCAATTCTTAGTTCATTACTTGGTATATTAACTCTGTAAAGTCTGAGATATGAAAAATATCTTTCTTTGAAGTGGAACACTTTATTGAAAGTGTATTTACAGTGTAAAAGTGTTTTTTTTTTCTAAAAAAAAAAAAAAAAGGGGCATATGCGTTTTACAGTACATTGAATTGATCAAAACTGACTATGTACACTGTATTTATTCTGTAGATTAAAATGTTTTGTATCATATTTAATACATTAGGTTGTTTATGGCTCATAGTATGATATAAGGAGAATATGGTGCTCACACTTGAAGAGAATACCTCAACGTTATTCAAAGGCATCAACTGAGGAAAAATATGAAATTTGGTGCAGCTGCGGTTATCTATTGCCAAATTCTGAAATTCTGATGTATAGTAATCTACATCAATAATAGATCTTTATAATAGTATAGCAGAGCATTTAGGCTACATAAAATGCTGAGTTGTTTCAGTCCATTAAATGTTCATTTTAAAATATTAACAATATAAAAGTTATTCTTGTGTTTACTTCATAAAAAACCTGAAGGTGGACATCATTACAATTTGACTAAAAGGTTTTTTACTTGCAAAAAAGGTATGAACTATCAATCAGAGGGCAGAAGGCATGTAGCAGATTGTGTGTGAAGTTTTGATCATGCTGCTAATTTAGAATTCTTAGAAATGCACATATCAAATGATACAGTAGGCTTTATAAGGTTAATCAGGTGTGAAGTAAGGACTCAGTGCCTAGCAGCTACATCCATACCTGATCATAAGATCAACCCTACTTAGATCTGCATTAAATCTCAAAACAACTAGCTTTTAATAAAGCTGCATATTTAGCTTCATATGATTGGGACACAACAGTTTATATTCCACTTAAAACAGATTCCAAGTACTTAAAGGTAAGAAAAAAAGTTATATGACACTTCCTGTTTATCCCAAAAAAATCTACATAGAAACAGGAACAAGAGCAGTGGTTTGAAAGAGCAGATCAATCCACCAACTGCCCACTATCCACGTCGACACGGAGTAAATGCAATTTAACCAACTGACTGACCAGCAACAAGATCAGTAACGTCACACACTGGTTGCTTAACCAACTTTGGGATTTAAAGCTAGCACAACTAGCACAGGACCCTGTAAGTTACCACATTCACGAGTCCTACTAGGCAAGCTGTGGTGTACGAGTACGGCAAATGACCTACTCTCTAAAACGAGATATGCCCAGAGTATTTGGCCGGCTGAATATAGTTTTTTAGCCTGCAAACCATTGAGCTAATTGCCTTAGCAGAGCTGCCCTGCCATATTGCATTAGGACTCCTCCGTGCAGGCCATCCGGCTAAGCTAACAAGAGACCGAGGCTGCTAGCTACAGCGTCTCTCTCTGGTATCTTTCTTTTGTGTTTTGATTAATAGCCACCCACCTTATCCATGCATTTCCAGCATTTCTCCACCGTCTTTTTGTCCACGGCCCCGGGCTGGTGATGGGAGTGGTGGAGATGATGGTGAGGCTGAAAAGCGTCCTTCATCATGCCAATAAGCCCCCCACCTTTCTTCAGATTTCCTGCCATATTCGGAGTCCGGAGTGGTCTTTTCGTAGTCAAAATATAACTGGGATCGGATACCCCCCGGTGAGGACAGCGCCCGAGTCCGGTTCGGTTCGAGCGAGGGTCCGTCAAGGGGGGGAGAAGCGCTTTATCGATGCAAGACTCCCATTAAATCCCCCGTGCAGGAAACCACCGTTTCACGCTGTGTTGTATACGCTCGGCTAGCGCGGCGGATCCCGTTAAAAACAACGCGTAAAAATACGTTTTGATGGGTGTCTGGACGTGGAGGAACAACTGCTTTCACATCGACACCCCGTGCGTGATGTTCCCTTTTCTTGCAGCTCTCTCTTTCTCTATCTGTGCGCTTCTGCAGAGCGATGTCCGATTCGTCATCGAATCGTTCATTTGAGTCGGATCTTTTAATGAATCAGTTGGGTCGGATCTTTTGAATGAATCGGTTCACAAAACTGGTCGGACTGAAATAGTTTGACAGGTAAAATTAAATTAGTATGGGTTAATATACGTGCATATTATATTTAAGATCGAAATCGAATTGGAATGATCTTCCAACCCCTATCCGGAAAGCTGACCCTGACAATTTTCAAGCGACTGCTGAAAACTCATCTCTTTCGTAACTATTTGACTTCATCCTAAAAAAAAACAAAAAAACGTTGTTTTCTCCTTTCTGCAATCTTTCCCTGTCTGTAAATGTAAAATGATTTATATGATCATAATCATTGCTACAATAAACACATAAAAATGACACATGAAATTACAATAAACACAATCAAAACATAAACACAATAAACCTGACTATATATGACTTTGATTTAGTTAACAGTAATATTAATCAATAAACATTACAAAAATCACTTGCAAATACAGAATAACAATGTGTTGAACAAAAAAAATCTAAGAAAATTATTTTTTATTTTTCTAGAGTAAATCTTTTTTTAAAGAGAAAATAAAAACCTACAAAGAAATATTGGAAAGTTTCAAAGCCTGGGTGTTTAGGGACCACGTGATGACCTAATAGCGAAGTGACGTACAAAAATAGTTGAATCGGTTCTTTGAGGGGACCTGTCCGAAAGAATCGATTCGCTGAAATGAATCGGACTTCCCATCACTACTTTTGCAACGGGAAGTTCAGGCTGAGCAAGTCAAGAGCCCTTGCAAGCAAAAAGCAAGGGAAAAAGCGATCACTCACGTTTATTATAAACCCAGCACAGATTGTCTTTCTCCATATGAAAATGCAATATTAGATCGCGAAATAATATCGTATTAAATAAGATAAATAAACCAGTTTGGGAAATAAACACCGCGTTCGACCTCCCCCTCCCGCGCTTCCTGTTCCGCCTGTAAGACCTCGCCCTCTTTCATGCGTCACATTTTCTCCGCCTCCGTTTTTGCTCCTCTTGCGAATATACGAATCCTACTATGGTGAAAAGCACGACTAATGAATATTAAATAAGGCACGTAACCGGTGCACTAGGAAGGTTACCAAGCAACGTAAGCAATGGCGTAGTTAATATTCATGAGCAAAGCATTTGCAGAAGTAGCGTACTTTCGCAGCTCTCCGGGTTAAAGAGATTAATTATGCAGATTTCTTTTTTACACATTTTACGAATTGGTCTAATATATGATGCTTGATTCGCTGATCATTTCTTATAATTTTAGTTCATATTCGCTTTACAAGTATCCAAAAACGAAATTGAAAGAAAAGTAAAAACTTGTGAATAAGAGTTGCCTCTACAGAGCTCCACGTCCTGTACTTAAAAATGAAATAGTGAGATTCTCTTTAAAGAATATAAGCAATTCAGAAATACCTCAAAAGACTTTATTGTCCATAAAACAAAACGACACACTTCCAGGCAACGAGCCGGTAACGTAGTGCAATGCGGATACGTAGAGCAACTGTAATTGGCATTCTGGAGAGGTGATTGGCTAACGTCTCTCTCTAACCACGCCCACGCTGCCAGGCGGCTCTGTATACACAATACAGACACAATAAAACTTTTCCTTCAGTTCGAAACAAGCAGATCTAGAATCTTTACACCATGCCACCAAAAAAGAAAGGGAAAGGAAACAGCAAAAAGGACAAGTCCAAAAAGAGCACACCAGAAAAAGGTGTTTTTCTATAAACTATAACATTATATTTTATAAACACAAAATAATGTAGTAGCTACTTAACAATAGTAGCCCCTGTTTTATTGACATGATACATTTCCCTTTTTTTCTAATCATACAGATGATGGACTTACAGAGAAGTATCGGAGAAGTGCCTTAGACGTGGCTGTTTTAAAAGAACATCTTGGTAAGGCAAATATTAAATTGGCCTGTTCTAGGAGTTGTTGTCTGTTTGCTGATGTCCAGTTCTATTAAAACATTAAGAAAGGAACTTCTCTACAAATCTCATCAGCTCTGAGGACAAGTATAACGCGTCAGGCCACAGCAGTGAGAGATGACTTGAAAAGTCAAATCAGAGATCTGGAGCAGGTGCTCAGGCAGGAACGATCAGACATGAAGGACATCACTACAGGTCTGTATAAAGTGTATTTCTTTATTCCAGGTTTATTGATATAGCACACCTGCATGAAACAATGTGTACTTCATAACACTCATGTTTTATGCTGTATTGTTTTGGAAATACTTGAATGAAAATGAAAGTGCATGTTGCAGTCTACAGAACAACATTTTTGCTTTTATCCAAACAGACACTTTATGTCTCAAAAGGTTTCACTTAATTAATATCTTGAAGCTTCCCCACAGATCCTGGTGATACTGAAAAATCTTTATTTCTAACATATAGATAAAATTAAGTTATAGGCAGTTTCATAGACTTCATTATTTCATAAACTTGCTCAATATATAATCTTTAGTTTATTTTCTTGAAATTACATGATTATTTGATCCACAGCATGTCCTAAAATTCAAAACGAAAGTTTGGATTGAAAGAAAGCAGCATTTATTTGAATAAAAATACAGTAAAAACTGTTATATTGTGAAATATTATTATAAAGATAACTATTTTCTATTTTAATATATTTTCAAATGTAATTTGAATTTTCATCAGTCATTACTCCAGTCTTCAGTGTCACATCAATGTTTAGAAATCATCAAGAATCATTTTATTATTATCATTACAGCATTTATTTGAAATGGAAAAATCTTAACTCTATACTGTAAATATCTTTATTGTTACTTTTGATTAATTGAATGCTTACTTGCTAAATAAAAGTGTTAGTTTCTTCAAAAGTCATTCTAATATGCTGATTTGTTGTTCAAGAAACATTTAATATTATAATCATATTTCATATTATAAACATAATTATAATGTTGAAAATAGCTTAATATTTTTGTGCAAACCAAAATTATTTATTTTTTCAGGATTCTCTGATAAATAGAAAGATCAAAAGAACAAGATTTTTATTTGAAATAGAAATCTTTTATAGATTTGATAAAGATTAGATTTCATTCCAAATAACAAAACATTATAAATGTCATTATATAATAATGTTACTCACCTCTTTACGACTTATGTAAATGTATATTTTAGTAAAGTTATATCATTGATTTCTAACACAATATGTATTGTATTCTACACAAACTTGATTTCAGATCTCAACCGCCAATATGAGTCCATGGAAACAGACCTGCAGACTAAAGTAAACAGGCTTGAAGTGAGTGTAGACTTGCTTGAGACGCAGCTGGGTAAGTTCAAGCATTAACACATTCAAATTCTTGTGCTTATCATAGGCATTGTGTGCTTTAACCAAACACATGCTCTCCAATCACATGCTGATGACAAACAAGGCCTCTGTTTGATTAGCCGAATGTCAGGTTAAATTAAAATCGGAAAGAGAGCAGCGAGAGAAGACAGAAGCAGAAAAAGACGCCATCATCTCTGACCTCCAAAGCAAACTGGATAGTATGGCGAGAGAGTGTGAGAAGATCCTGCACGTAAGTCAGAGTCACGGCTCTATAAGTGATTAAGTGAAATATCAGTGCTGTGTCAAAATATATATTAGATGCTTGAATGGATGACATATTTTATCAGCATTACACAAGGCTTAGCTTAAATTGCTTGGTGACATTTCAAAGCGTGACAGACTAATCTACCTCAACGAAATGAGGTATAATTAATGCTATAGTAAAACAAATTGAACTGACTGTTAATTAAAGTGTTAACAAATCTAATTGCCATCCACAAGGTTATCCATTTCAGCATTTAGTATTTTAGCATAGTAGAGGCCATCTGCACCTCTAAATGCTCGTGCCAGATGGCGATACATGCCCCATTTAATTAGCTACTTTTCATCTTAAATTGAGTACGTTTTTAATAATTGGTGTCTATTGGCCTGATACAGGGCTGTCTGGACAGTTTGCTCTCTCACCTGGCCGAGACGCGGCTGCAGTGGGAAGAACAGAGCACAGTCATTCATCAGGAAGTCAAGGACACGCTCAGAGACTTTGGGTTAAACCCGCTTCACATATGAGGACACCTTCGGTTGAGCACTGTGAACAGAACAGGAGCAGGACCAAGACATCTGACCTTTGACATCTGAGCAATTGCACATATATTGCATAAACCAGGAGTTTTCAAACTCCTATATAGTACGGGTCGGTACTTTCTTTTAAAGTAATTAATAGTTTTAGTTAGCAAGGATGCATTCAATTGATCAAAAGTGACTGTAAAGAGATTTACAATGTTTCAAAAGAGTTCTATTTTAAATAAATGCTGTTCCTTTGAACTTTCTATTCATCAATGAATCCTGAAAAAAAGTATTACACAAAAAAATTAAGCAGAACAACTGTTTTCAACACTGATGATAAATGTGTTTTATTTTTTTGAGCAGCAGATCAGCATATTAGAATGATTTCTGAAGGATCATGTGACACTGAAGACTCGAGTAATGGCTGCTGAAAATTCTGCTTTGGCATCACAGCAATAAATTACATTTGAAAATATATTCAAATAGAAAACAGTCGATTTAACTTGTCACTATATTTTACAACATCACTGTTTTACTGTATTTTGATTACAAAAATGCAGCCTTGGTTAGAATAAGAGACCTCTTTCAAAAACATTAGAAAATCTTTCTCACTAATTGAAGATATTCATATATTCAGTTATACAGGTTTGGGAACAGTGCTAGCTTGTGCCGATATCAACTTCAACTGAGGTCTAAATGTTGATCTGAAAGTTGATCTGAAAACAACACAACAACAACAAAAGGCATTGTCTTAATTATCACTTCACCATAAAAAGGTCAAGCTGACTTTAATTGAAATTAGTGACTTTTAAAATTAGTTTCACATGGGGTTTGGGTAGAAGGTTATGAATTCAGTTCGAAAATGAAGACTCAGGACATTCATTTTACAGTTAATTTAC